TAAAAGATGATAGTAAAACAACCAAAGATAGCCTTGTCGATGTAGACATCCTTAAAATAAGAGAAAGCTTATGTCAGAGGAATCCTAGGTTGTCAAATAGCCTTCCAGAGGCTGTGACAAAAATGGAAGGGAGAAGGCCCATTTATAATAGACCAACTTAAAAATTGAAGCCACCTACTTAAAAAAAAAAAAGCAAAATGAGCAAGCAAAAACTTGAATTCTGCATAATGAGATGATGAACAAGCTTCCATCAAAAAGATTAAGCCCTCCAAGTTGAAGATTTTGATTGAATTGCATTTGAAATAACACATGTTAAAGTGGTTTGGCAATTGATGTGACCACCAAATCTTCTTTCATTTCCTTCTTTCCACACATAATGAATCACACAACAAATAAAGAGATATGCCATGTTTTATTGTCTTTCAATCAAGCTCTAAATATAAGTTATAAGCTAAAGTATTTGAGAAAGATTCACCGTAAGCAACAATGTTGCAGCTTGAGGGACTAAATTCTTAAGGATACCAAATGTATAGTCATATCCAAAATATAGATCACTAGCATTCTCAAAACCTTTAGCACAAAAAGAGCAGTGAGTTTGAACATGAATGTTGTAGGATCTGAGTGAAGCTGTTGTTTTTAGAGCCCCAACCATAGAAAGCCAAGTGTCAGAGGAGTAATTAATAACATAGTATTTGTACAAAATATACTTCCCCAAAAAATCATCTCATGATTAGAGTAAAAAAAAAGGTTTTAAACCTATCCAAAAGATAGTGTAAAAATCAATGTTAGTATAAAAAGTGTGGTATCTTTAAACTTAGCAGTTACATTCATATGAAATATATGTAAGTTTACCCAATTATCATTTGAAATGAGAATAGAGACTGATCTTATAATATAAGTATTTATTGGAGAGGATTCATGATGAAGAACTTCACTATTATTTTCCCCTCAAACCAAGGGTCCCAGAGCATAGAGATCTTAGCACCATCATGAATCTTATAAGAAATATTATCTTTCATAAAAGCATCAAATAAAAAAAAAAACTTACTAATAAAATAAATCCCTTTTGTAGCAGGATAATTCTAGATATTGTCATATTGGCAAAGCCACCATTTTTCCAGGAGTCAATTGAAGTTTAAACAGTGCCATAGAAGTGATCAATTCAACACAAAATTAAGATAATGAAAGGAAGGTAAACTAAACCCACCAAGATTCTTAGGTTTACATGTGTTTGACTAAGAGATAAGATGCATTTTTTTTTTAAGCTTCAGAGTTACCATGGAATAAAAACCTAGAACAAAGCTTGGAAATGAGTTTACATTTGCTTTTAGGTAAGATAACACCACTAATCCACTAGGAAATAATATTAAATATCCATAATTGAAGAAATTGCAATCTCCTGCAATGGAAAAAGATTTTGCTTTCTAGCCTTCAAGAAATTTGGAGACTTTGCTCATGGTCGGTGACATCAGTGGCAAGCAGTCTTTTGGATAGAGATAGGAATACATAAGTATGAGATGACAATGTTATAGTTATGGATGTTGTGAGTGTCAAAAATTTACTACTGGTGCATAAATTTTTTACAGAAAATGATGGTGCTCTTGGTAGGATTAAAGGAAAACTTAGAAAAATCTTTGAAGTGGTTAAGAATCCTATTTAGACTATAAATATTTGAGTCGAACATTTCCCAAACACAAATAAGTTATCAGCATAAAGTATGTGGGAGAGTTGAAGATTGTCCATAATGATGCTAATATAAGCATGAGATGTGGTGGCTACTTCAAAAAGGTTAGATAAGGCATCCATAGTAATGCAAAATATGTATGGAGATGGAGGATATCCTTGTATAAGGCTAGAAGTAGAGTTTAAAAACCCTCAAGACTGTCATTTAAGCATAGTGAACTTTATCAATATAAACTTTAACCCAATCAACAAACAATTAAGGAAACCTTTTCGAATCATTCTCTGAATAAAGAATTCTCTAAATATAGTATCAAATGCTTTAAAAACATCCAACTTAGCACAAAAGAAAACCTCTTTTTGTTCCATTTAACTTTGGCAAAAAAAAGTCATATGTGAAAACTCTTTTTTTTTTTGGGATAAAACTTACAGTCGGGGCTTACGAGTAAATTAAAAAAAAATAATGATACAAACCCATAATGAATCCAAAGCCCTCTAAAAAATAACAATTAAAGCAAAACCTACGGGCCATTGATTCAATTTAAATACAAAATACAAGCAACATAAAATAGACCAACATAAAAAAATCCAAACAAAATATCAACCAGAACAGAGAAGTTGCATTAGCAACATTGCAACAAAAGAGCCACAATAACCACCGAGAAAACCAAAAAAGGCAAATCTGACCAACAATGATAACCAAGGCTAGAAAGATGCAAGACCAATGCTAGGAAACGAGCTACAAAACAACATTCAAACAACCTACAATAAATAGCATTCCAACACCAAAGTTGATACAAAACCCCTTAGAATCCACAAGCACTACATTTAAATTACAATCATCACTCATACAATTTGATAGGCCGACATGAGACCCCTCAGAACCCCAATCCTCGACCAATTGAGAGCACAAATCTACCTGACCAACAGGAACATCAACTAGCATCTCCATACCATTCATAGCTTCAACCTCCACATTAGAAGCAGGAGAATCATGAATAAAACTTAAAGGAAGTTTATGAGAAAACATTTAATCTTGAGAAAGAACATTAGCATTCAAATCAATATGAGGGGAAACAATCCCCAAAGGGGTATATATTATCCAAACCATTAGCTATCTCATTCACAATTACTTGTTCACCCCTAACATCCAACGAATCTAAATGAGGTGACTTAATGAGAGTACTGTAAAAATTATTGAAACTAGGTAAGGCAAAAATATTATCAACTATAACATTATTACCACCCTTAGAAGGCTCATTAGCTATATTATTCCCTTCATCCAAAACGACAACATTATCATTAGAGCCAACCACAATAGTCACCACATCAGTGTTCGATTGAACATAATTGGAAGTAGCATTAGCCGTATTTTTCACAATTTCCATAAGAGGGAACCACAGGGTCTGAGGCTCGCACAGGACCCATAAATAAATGGGGATGAAGAACACTACACTCGGATTTTATATGTCCAATGGATTTATAGTGAACACAAAAAGCAGGAAAAACTTTCATTTCAACATGTTGAAAGTAGACCAATTTTTCTGGGCCTAACCACACCCGATCAGGGTAAGTTTTGGTAATGTATAGTTTAACCAGAACATGTGCAAGAGAGGCACATGAACCATAAGCTGTATCATGGTCAATTTTAATTAACAACCAAACA